CTCCTAAGTAGGCTCCTTTATCTGTCTGCTCAGTCTCGCTCACCAAGACTTGTGCTACGTTTGCACAACACAGCATTTTTGCATGCCATGCTTTGTAAAGAAGTCATTGGCCAACCTGAAATCCTGACCACCCACAAGTTTTATGGAAGGTACTGGCATTCCCTTACAGCACATGCTGCTAAACAAAACAGAATAATTTCTGGCAAGTCAGCCAACACAGAAGAAGAAGAGAGGCATTTCAACACTCTGCAAGGCATCACAAAGTTAACAAACAGAAGACCTGGTGATTTCATCACACCTAGTCTTGTCCGACTTCAAGCTGAACAACAGATGGCAGAAACCAGGCAGGGAAACGCGATGAAAGCCCAAGTATCCCAAATTTCAAAATATTATAAGGCATTACCACCATTTCCCAACTCAATCATACCAGATCGGTATTTGTGAGAAATCCTAAAGAATATCAGGCTCACTTCCAGAGCATAAGCGATTTCCTTATCTGTGGTGAAGGTGTTTGGTGGCAGCAAATTGCCTGCATAGTGGAGTTTCGGGATGGTCCAGATGAGCTTGATTTCAGACCTCAAGGCCCATCTCACCACCATTTCAGGTCAAGCAGCCTGGCATTAGAAGAACAACACCTCAAGCAATGTTGGGAAATCTGCCTGGCCAATGAAGCAATCACAATTCCTCATAGAGTCATCAGGTTGTATGGAGATAATGGTGACTGTGTTCAAGTGATCCACAAAAACTTTCTGGATGATGACAGCGAAGACAGTGATGATGAAGAAAATGAAACTGCACACAACCCCATGACATCTACAAGCAATGAACAAATTGTGAACTCGAACACTGGGATGAGGATACTGAAGAGCAAGCAGAGAGTGTGGAATTAACTGCAATGGAGAATGGAACCTTTCATGATTCAATGGAGAACCTAGTATCTGTTAGATTCTGCAGATGAAGATGATGGTGCTGCAGATAACCAGGGGCTCCAGATCACAAATGTCTCTTCACTTTCCACTGCAGACGAATACCAGCCTCTCGAGAAAAGCAGTTCTAAGCTCCAAAATGTTTCATAAAGAAATGATACTACCATTACAACTACCCCTGAATTCAAAGAACAACTTCAAAAAGAACACCACAGAAATTCAAGTGATGATTGTCAACAATCCAGTAAGCAACTTGCCACAAGGCTTTGCAAAAACATTGCAAAACTTTTGGGAGAGACAGATGATGTCTTCTGCTTGGATAAAGCAAAAGAAGATCAGAAATGTCACCCAACAAGTCATTTTTACAATGAGAAGTACCAAAACCTCCTTTCGGGAATGCAGAGGAAGATATTGACAATGCGTACACCATTAAAGAAAGAACATAACACCTGGGAGAGGGAATACTGTCTTAAGCATGACTTCCATGAGCCGAGTTTGACTGATGTAAAAAAAGACAAGAAACAATACTCTGTCTACAAGAAAATAATTTTATGTGATGAGCTTCTTAAATATTGGGGAGTCACTGTTCATTTGTACTGATTCATGTCGACTAAAATAATTTGTATAGGCTGGCTTTTACATACACTGTACAAACATAGGCTTGCATGTATGGCATAGACATGACACGCACTGTATATAACACTATCACAAGAAAAGTTTATCAATCCACTTTTAATCTACAAGTATTTAAAAATAGTCCTTTAATAAAATTTTCATGTTAAAAATCTTACAAGTCTAATATATTAGACTTTGTCTCAACTGTAACATGAAGTACATATATCGGTAATTTAGTTTCAATATCAGCCATTTATTCCAGCAAATAGCAAAAATTTCAAAACTTAATGGCTCTGTAAATTCCAAGCCAACTCATCCCCCCGGGCAATTGTCAAGTTGTACAATTATGTAAGGTATCCGCAGTGGGTCATTTGCTAGCAAAGAGCTGCCGGCCCGTGGCAGGACATTTGACATAAAGAATTATA